AGAGCAGATTGTGAGCGTACCAGTAAGTACTTCAGGACAACTAGTTATTTGTTAAAAGGGAAGCCAGAGAAGAGGCTGAGGAAGGAGATGGGCAGAGGTCAGATTTAAGGCAGTAAAGCTTGTGTGTCTGTGGGATTTCATTTGTTTTAATGCTTAACTGAGTTAAAACTGAATTCATTTTCTGTCATCAAACCTACTAAGCAGGCATCCAAAGTAATAAAAAAACAAGTGATTTTGTTTAAGGTGATATGTGGCAGAGACATTATTTTGTAAGTGTTTGAAGAGCTGAAGGGAAGGTAGTTGGGCATCTATTGTAATTATCCAGTCAGGAGAGAATGAGGCCTGGATTGGGCGATGTTGGTGGAAAGGGGAGGTTGTCCATAGAGGCAAACCCTGGCTATCATTCTCCTGTCTATTGTCTTGAATGGCTCTTGTCAGATGGATTCATCTCCTACTTTCTCTTAGTATAACAGCTTGGTCCCAAGCTCATGAATCCTTTTTTTATGTCTCTGCAATGCTGAGGCTGTTGGCTATAAAATGCTGGGAGCATCTGAGGGTGTGTGTGCCTGCAAAGCATGCGCAGATCTGCATTCAGACTGCTTTCAGCTAGAGAATGCAATGCTGTCCTGCCTTCTGTAGCATCCACATGCAACAGAATTACCATTGCTACTAGTGGGGACTTCTGGCACTGAAAACATCTTCAGAATTTGTGAGAAAAGTAGGAGGGGAAATCACAATTTTTTTTCAGGACTCACATATTTATCCTTTCATATTCGTAAAGCAAACTGTATCAGTACATACTAAGCAGTTCATTTCAACGTCTCAGCCATGTGTCCTTGAGCCCTGCAATATTTGTAGTGGGTGGCTTTACTGCCTTAAATCTGTATTGACAGGTGTAAACTTACACTAATAACTTAATAACACAGAGAAGCAAAACAAACTGCAGCTCCTAGGATGCTGGATTAACTTGAGAACCAATAATATCAAGAAAGCACAGGTCCAATGGCTTCTGAGTGATTTTTTTTTTCTTCTTGATTATAGTAAGCCCCGTGCCTATGAAATTTGTAATGCTCCCTGCTTTTCTATCTGTGTTTTCACTTATTGGATTTACTCACTGCAGTAACTCTCTACCATTTCTACACTTTAAGCTTCGCTTTAAAGATGAAATACAAAGTTAAGCAGTGATACAGTACTTCTCAGGAGGTCCAAGTCTGGGTTTTCCCTTCCCAGAATCTCTGTGAATTCCTGTGTTCCAGTCTCTGGGTTTCTCTTAGAGACTTGGGATGCCCACTGAGTGAATCTGGTTGGCTGAGTGTGCTGGCTCTGTGGTATTCCATCTTTTAAATTTCCCTGAGGAAGAGACCCTGCTCTGGTCATTCCTAACTGTCTTCAGTTGGGAAAAGAATGTGTGGGCATGTGGTAGGGGTCATTTAGTTCATACTGGATGAAAAGGGGCATGTCTACACACCTGGGAGAAGGAGAATGATTTTGGGTATGAGATCTGGTGAAAGTGGGAGATATTGGTAAACTGACACAAATCCCCGAGAAGTGGGGAAATGTTCCTTGTATAGTAAGGGATATGTCAGACTGTATATACAGAGTTACCCCCACTCCCTTGCCACTGCCAAGTGGTACCTTAAACAAAGGCATTTCTATGTGGATCTTAAAAAGATGCTTATCCTAAATTCTGAGTCAGAAAAAAAATTCCTTAAAACGAAACCATTAAAAGCATATATTGTAAAGAACAAGATTTTATATCCTTCTTTCCTAAAAAGAAGGTTTCCTCACAGATTCTTAATTATCTGTACAGACAGATGCACCCTGCTGGTGGCCTCCACACTTCCTAGGTGGTTTTAACTTTTCTACCTTTAGGCACTGGAGTTGAAGGGCCCAGAATACTGCCCATTCCCTTGAACACCTGCACAGCTCTCCACTTCCGACTGGTTAACTAGAACCTTCATTTCCGCTATTCCTCCTTGAGCAGCCTACATGTGTTAGCTCTCCCACCCCTACCCCACTTTGTGGGCACATTGGGTTTTATTGTAACAAAGCAACTTGTGCTCCTTTGGCATTTCAAACAGAGCATCATCTTTTCTTTCCTTTCTGGTAGAAGCAAAAAATGAAAAAAAAAATAACCAAAATGACACTAGAGAAAACAAATTGCAAATAATCCAACAGGTTCTGCTGATTCTCTCCATTGAGTGACAGGGCTCAGGTCATCATGGGGGGGGGGAGTTTTATTTCAAAAGTATCATCTTAAACACCGCCATTAAACATTCCAAAGGAAAAGCCATGTTGCAGAATGCTCTCTTAACCCAACCATCTCAAACTCACCCCTTGCTGACCTGCTAACACACCCTTGCATTAAGCTTTGTTTACCTTCTTAAAAGAAAGCAGATAGATACACAGCACTGTATGTAAACTTTTCATATTCACACAGAGACACAATGTAATCTCTGAGCCCAACACTCAGAGGGAGGGGAAAAAAAGCCAGAATTCTATGCAGTTCTCCACAGGGCCTAGCACCCTCCAGCTGTTCCAAGGAGAGTGAAGGAAGTGCTATTTTCTTTTTCCCCACAGAGGATGGTGGTGGTGTCTGCTTTTTATTGCTGCCATAACAAATTATGACAACCCTTTGGGCTTCAGGCAATGTCCATAATTCTGTAGATCAGAAGTCTTCGGAGTCTCTTTGTTTAGATGGCTTCTCAGCTTCAGATCTGCTCATGTAGAGTGTCTCTGGAAGAATTTTCAGGCTTATTCAGTTAGCACAACCTATCTTTGCAGTGCAGGGATAAAATCACCAACTGGGTTTGCTCTCTGCTCCAAAAGCCCCCTGCATTTTCCTCATGGGGCCCATGTCTTCCTAATTCAGACCTCTTGGACCGCTCCTTTCTTTGCCTCTTTTGCTACCTGACAAAAAATTAGCCTGCTTTGTAAGGCTCATATTGGGCCTTGTTGTAGAATATTATTTTAAGGTGTGTTACATTTGTTTATATTGTGGAATATTTGTTTAATGATGCAAAGATGTGTTGCATTCTTTTATATTTCATCTGTTTAACTCTGTGAAGCTGTGTTACTGTGCCTGTTTAAAGCATCTGTTGGTCTAATAAAGAACTGGCCAATAGCAAGGCAGGAGAAGGGATAGGCAGGGCTGTCAGGCAGAGAGAGTTAATAGAAGGGGAAGTATGAGAAGAAGGAAGAAAGAACAAGAGAACAAGGCGAGGAGGATGCTAGGGGCCAGCCACCCAGCCACACAGCCAACCATGGAGTAAGAGTGAAAATAAGATTACAGAAGTAGAAAAGAAAAAAGCCCAGAGGCAAAAGGTAGATGGGATAATTTAAGTTAAGAAAAGGTGGTTAGAAATAAGCCAAACTAAGACCGGGCATTTGTAAGTAAGAATAAGTTCCATGTGTGACTTATTTGGAAGCTTGGTGGAAGGCCCCCCAAAAGAACAAAGAGCAAAAACAACCAAACATAGGGCCTGCTCAAAAAGTCCAGAGGAACCTTTTTTTAAAGCCAACCAATGCAACACTCACTCCATTTGCAGAATCCATTTCATTCTGTAAGAAAACACACTCATGCCACTGGGGACTAGGATAGGCATTTCTTTAAAGAGGCCATCTAAGAAAACCTGCCCACACTTCTTCTGAGAAGGAAAACTTTGCCAGATGGTGATGATTAGTCTTCTGTAGGCTGCAGCTGGAACCCACACTCATTAACGAAACACTCACTTTGCATAATGTCTTGGTAAGTTCCCCCCAGCTCTATGTTGCAGAACAGTATTTGGAATCAAAATTTATATTTAGTTAATATTCAAAGAAGAAAGTCTCTAGTCAAAAATTAGAGGACAAAAGCTCAGGACATGTTTCATGTTACATATGAACTTGTCCACAAACAGAAGTACTTGGTTTGCCTCATGGTCACTTAGCTATGTTCCAGGACTGATGACACCATGTGTCATGTAAACACGCTTCAAAATAGCATAGTACAGCCCTGAATGAAGCTGTGGGTGTTCATTATTGTCAACCAGGCAAGAGCACTATCCAGTGGAACTCATGCTCTTGAATACATATGACTCTCTTTTCTAGGCAAGGGCAGGTTGCAAGTTACATTCTATTATGAGGGACTAGTAGTGATTGTCTGCCATCACTAGCTCCCAGTGATATTCAAAAGAAGTCATTCTATTTTAGTAACTAACTTAACAAAGAATCAAAAAAAAAAAAATACAAACTGGTGAGATGGCTTACCCAGAAAAGGTGCTTGCTGCCAAGCCCTGAGTTCCATTTCTGAGATTCAAATGGTAGAAGAAGAGAACTGACTCCCACAAGTTATTCCCCTGACCTCCACATGCTACTAATAATTAATAAGTATATTTTAAAAATTAAATATATAATCCATTTGATTAAACGGGGAGTGGAGATTAAAGATTCGAAGCCACGTGATCAACACTACAGTTGCTAAATAGGGAAGAAGGTGAATCTGGTTTATGAGCTGTGTCAAGTTGGTGCTGTGAAAAGTCGTTATGGACAAGTCCTTATGGACTAGATGGTGCTGGGGACTGATGAACAAGAAGGGTGCTTAAGCTGACCTCTGTAATAAAGAATAAGCAAGCGACTGGTCATTAGCTTTTAAAAGCAAAACTACATGTCACTTTCTCTCTAAGGTATTGTTAATTGGTGTGTCTGACAATGGCTAGACACAGACCCGAGGAAGTTAGTAGTGATAGCCACACATCAGAAGTGCCATAGGACACCTTTGTGGGTATCTGTATTACATTTTTTATAAAACAATGTTAGGCTGCTTCATACATCTTCTACAGATTATATATGTCATCAGGTTTAGGTTTAAGGTATGTCCCCCATGGAAGAAAAGCATACCCAAACTGCTAGGAATGGAAAGAGAATTATCCAACAATGAAGAAGACACGGCTTTATTAAAAAATCTCAAATAAATGGTAAACAACATAATAACAATATAACATGGACGATGGATTTCTCACCTGAGAAGGGATTTCCTTACGTAATGCATGACATTGCCTGATGGTATGACCCTGGTGAGAGAGATCTCCTGCTTCTCCCAGGAGGGATGATGGGGTCTGAGCTGTGTCTTCCTGCATAGAACCACTTGTCAGGGCAAAGGTGCTCATTGCTCTAATTCACCAAGCTCTTTTTTAGGGCATTTTAAAAGACGATACTGATTTAATTCTGCATCAACGGTATTCTTGGATTGGAGAATCAAATTTTAGCATGAACTTGCAAACAGCCCCAGTGCCACACAACTCATTCATATTCTAGCAGCCTACGCCAAAGCAGGAAGCAGAGTCAAGCTGTTGCCATGAAGCTTGTTTCGAGAGCTCGGGAATCCTCTAGGGACCCCTTGATCATGCTTTTCAAAGGGGCTTTTGTCCCTCTCTTCTCCTGTTTCCTGCAAAGGGGCTGTGTCCAACATGCAAGGACATCATGAGGCCAACAAGGATGTGTGGAGTCTTCTGGGACTGCGATCCCCTAATTTGAAGTCTGCCTTCTGACGAGTGTCCTTCCTTCCTTCCTTCCCACACCACCACACTGACAAGCTTCTTTTCATACTCCTGCCTTGTAAAACTTGACTGTACAATAAATGAAAACTGCTCCTTCCTTTTTAAGAGATATGCTTTGTGGTCAGTCGGCACTTTTTTTATTTTAAGCCTTTTGTGAAAAGGGTTGTCAAATTCTCATTAGAATAGTATCTTTGGATACTATTGTCTGCTTGGAAACCTTAATTGACCTAAAATTTCCTAATTACTAGGCACCAAAAAGTATCAAGTCAGCAATATGACCTTTAAGTATTTTATGATTATTTTTCTTTTGAAAGGTAAGGGGCAGAGATGAAAGTAAATAAATAAAAATAAAATAAGTTTGTATTGACATTGATATTCCTAATTATAGATATGGATGTATGTTGAAGCTTAGTATATAGATTTGATGTATTTACTTCAGTGAACTTAGGAATAGAAATCATACCATTTCATTTTATTTTAGGAAGCTGAGAATTGCTGTTTTCCTTTAAAAAATATTGATGAAAGAAAGCTTTTTAACTTCACAACATTCTCATGGAAATATAACTGTGCTGTTTCATCATGAACTCATAGAAAAAGAAAATAAGGTAGTTTTTAAAGGAAGCCAAAGGAAGTGAAGTTGGTCAGTCATATTTGCATTAACCCAACTGACAACATGATAAGATTGTCTTCTGAAAGGCATTAATCTTGGTGTACATATATATTCAGATTAGAGCAGTGGTTCTCGACCTTCCTAGTGTCTCGACTCTTTAATACAGTTCCTCATGATGTGGTGACCTCCAACCATAAAATTATTTTCCTTGCTGCTTCATAACTGTAATTTTGCTACTGTTATGAATCATAGTGTAAATATCTGTGTTTTCTGATTGTTTTGGGTGACTCTTGTATAAAAATGGTTAGAGTTCCCAAGGGGGTCACAACCCACAGGCTGAGAACCCTTGACTAGCATGTGAGTGCATGAGGGAGGGATCTAAGAAACTATTAACAGATTTTTGCAAAATATCATGCTATGTTCCTCAGCTACTCTTGAACCTGGCTTAAATGATCCTCCTGCCTCAGCCTTGCAAATACTGAGGCTACAGGCATGTGCTACAGTGCCCATCAATCTCTGTGCTTGATAGTGAGCTGTTCCCCCTTGTAAAATGCCACATATGTAGTCACTGTATATATTACAAGTATATACCCATGTTTAAGGAAGCAGAGACTTCATTAAATATATTTGTATTTATTTTTAAGATAAAGTTCAAAGTAAATGTCTAGCACATGAGAAGCAAGTCTGTCATTTGAAGCAGGAGAATTTTTTTAGTGATAAAGTCTGAGAATGCTTATCTGTGTAATGGGAAAGTTCTGATGTTTAGGAAGCAGAGACAAACTAATATGCTTGTTTATAGCCTGCACAGGAAAATGATGCTTGCCTTGACGAATTTAGAACTATTGCATGCTTTGGGCTGGAGAGATGGCTTAACAGTTAAGAACACTTGCTCTTGCAGAGGACCTGGGTTCAGTTCCTAATACTCATATTAGGTTGCTCACAATGACCCATAACTCCAGTCCCAGGGGATCTGATGTCCTCTTCAGGCTTCTGTAGGCACCTGCATACACGTGGCATACAACCACTCAGACAAAGACACATGTACACAAATAGTAAATATAACAGAAATATGATATGTGTAAGCACACAATATGATGACTGCATTTCCATTTTATGTTATCTGAGGATATAAAAACAAAGACAAAATGAAACAATTATTTAATACCTACTTTATAAATCAAAATACAGCAACATGACCAGAAAAGGTAGCATTCATTGTCAGAAGTTGGGCACACAGCAGCCAAACTTCAGGGGATCAAGAAAAATCTAGTCAGTTAGATGGCACTTGACATCCTCTAACATTTTGTCACTGGCAAACAAGTACAAGTCAGATGCCTCTGTCCAGTCTAGAAGCGGTCACAAAGACTGTGTTGACAGGTAGATGAAATAAAGAGATGAAGCACATAGGAAGGAAGCACTTGGAGAGCACACAGTAGGTCTGGTTGATGGTGCAACACCGGAGTCTCTGGAACTGGAGAAGCAACTGGTAACAGGTTTCGAAGAATCAAGGGGCAAGGTGCATCGCGAACTGAGAAGGACCCTGCAGGGATGTGGGATGACGTGTGGGTGTGATTCTCAGATGCCTGATGACTTGATTGGGTTGAGGTGGTACGGACAACAAATGTGACTTGATGCTCATCTCTCAGAGATGACCCACGAGGCCAGTGCCAGTTACCATGTCCAAAAGAAAAGGATTAAAAATCATCATAGAACAGGATAGAAAATTCAGAGGGTAGTCTTCTAGTTTAGGTAAACAGCAAGGAAAGTTACTTCCCTAAGTGCTGTGCAGGTGTGGACGTTACTTAAATTTCTGTTTCTGTCTTAAGTGAAAATGACATTTATTTGGTGGTGGTATGATATATAAACACAATAAAATTAAATGCCAGTACATGCCTTAATGTTTTAATTAATGTATTATTAAATAATTTGAATTTACAAGGGATTTTGAAAACAGATTCAGCCTTAAGCATGTCAGGAAATTACTATTTAGACAAGGGATACCAGTATGTTCTACAATGGCATGTACTCATATTTAGAATAAGGCTATTCTGTTTTTCAAATCATGCTAGGGATAAAAACACAAATCTACTTGGCAGGAGATTACTATTTTAAAAATGAGTTTATTAGAGCCATAGAATTCAGACTTTCTTTGTAGAAAGTGTGGGGTGACGCGTAGTCAGCAGTAACTGATTGGAAGAAGGGCCAGCCTTGTTATATCCCAGGGAGAGCTGGGAAATGGACTCACACTCAAGCAAAGACAGTTCTAGTTGGGACAAGCCCTGGGGAGTGACACTCCCTGAGAGTTCTCTTTGAAAGCACTGTGGGGGGGGGGGATAATGCATTTGCTTGCTTATGCTAGATTTGCCCTTTTTGTGGGAATCAGGATCAGAACACAAGTCATCCCTTTCTTGACCCATTCATCTGGAGCTCTTGGGACTTCTCATGCTGCCTGCTCACAGGAGTCTCTGCTTTGCCCATGCCTGGCAGTAGCTGTTTGGAACCTTGCCTCTGGCAGCTCTTGGTTTCAAGTATCCAGACCTGTCACAAGGCTCTCCAGGAGAGGCGTCAGGCTGTCACCATCCATTAGGCAGCCCCCAGCTGACACACAGGCCAGTCCCTTCTCTCACAGGCCTTGGAACTGTGAGTACTGGCAGAAATGGAGGAATTTGGTTGTTCTACTCAGTCAGCCTAATTCTTCTACCTGCTGTTGTGCAGTTTTGCCCCAACTTGCATAGATTTACAATTTTATGATCCTGGACAGAACTTTCCTTTGGAATGATTCTAAGGTAAGGAAAGCTGAGAAACTGCTGGGCACTCTTCCTCATACCTATATATTTTTCAACAGAAATTAATACACAGAGGTTTATAAAAACTGTATGAAACCACTCTTTCTCTTTCTGGAACCCAACTTCAATCCACCCTTCAGTAGGATCATACCAGTCTCTGCCTTCAGAAGACCCTCTTGCCATAGAAGGCTGATGACAAGCATCGGGGGTGGTGGTTACAGTTTCACCCAAGTCTGGTGATGGCTATTGCAACAACTAGGATTGAAGCTTCTTAACTATTTTAATTAAGTTTGTTTTTTTAATCTCACTCTTATGGATATCTTTATCTTTCTTTCACCCAGAATCAAGATTCAGTGTCTTTGCAGAATGAACATTTATTTACAGATACTCTGCACCCGTTTTTCTTTCTTAGTACCACATCCCAACCCTTCCCCACATGCAGAGTGGGGTGCATGACTAGATTCCATCATTCATGTTCCAGAAACCCTTGTCCTTGGCTCAAGGTGACCTGTGACAGAAGAAGGTTCTGGTAGATAAGGAAAGGGAACACTTTCATTCACTCTACTAAAGTAACAAACATGCTTTAATTTTGTGTGCTGAAGTCGAAGGAGCTGCAGGGTCTATGGCTTCAGCAGTCATATATGAGATGTTGACAGGATGTATTAAAAATGAAGGTGTAATGTGAAGGGAAACAAAACCATGCAGAGAGAGACAAATGGCAATCTGGTGACATCACTTGAATCCATAGCTTAAGGCAACCCTCAGCCAGTCTATTCTTGATCTGCTTAAACAAGTTTGCGTTAGCTTTTTCTTTATCTTGGTTTTGTAAAAGCTTAACTAATGTACTGTGGGTAATTAGAGTCTTGACTGAGAGTTTCAGTCTAATAGCTGGACTTGGCTGCTTGCTGACAACCTCCATGATACTATCTGAGGCCTGGGTCTGTGATAGTCTCCGTCCATTTTCTTATTTCCCCCACTGGCTTTATTTCCGTCTATGTTTTACCCTGATGTAGGTTTCTAGTCTAGATGAAATCTCAAAACATAGAATTATCTTTTTCACCATGAGCATTTCAGGAAGGTTTAACGTTTTACCAACCTTTTTATATCTTTAATAACTCAAAGCAGGAGACTTCCAGGAATATCATTAAGCTGACCCTGAGATACATAAAAATATTAAGGTCAGTGGCTATTTAGTTTTGCTTTTTCCATTTTAGACATTGCTAGGTCACTTTGGTTTCTTTGTTGGTGACCTTTACTGTTTTATTGGAAA